CCTTAAAGGTGTTATATTACACGTAAAGGGACTCAAAATGCCCTTAAAGGTGTTATATTACACTGAAAGAGACTCAAAATGCCCTTAAAGGTGTTATATTACACTGAAAAGGACTCAAAATGCCCTTAAAGGTGTTATATTATACTGAAAGAGACTCAAAATGCCCTTAAAGGTGTTAAATGACACTGAAAAGGACTCAAAATGCCCTTAAAGGTGTTAAATGACACTGAAAAGGACTCAAAATGCCCTTAAAGGTGTTATATTACACGTAAAGGGACTCAAAATGCCCTTAAAGGTGTTATATTACACTGAAAGAGACTCAAAATGCCCTTAAAGGTGTTATATTACACTGAAAGAGACTCAAAATGCCCTTAAAGGTGTTATATTACACTGAAAAGGACTCAAAATGCAAAATGCCCTTAAAGGTGTTATATTACACTGAAAGAGACTCAAAATGCCCTTAAAGGTGTTAAATGACACTGAAAAGGACTCAAAATGCCCTTAAAGGTGTTATATTACACGTAAAGAGACTCAAAATGCCCTTAAAGGTGTTATATTACACGTAAAGAGACTCAAAATGCCCTTAAAGGTGTTATATTACACTGAAAAGGACTCAAAATGCCCTTAAAGGTGTTATATTACACGTAAAGAGACTCAAAATGCCCTTAAAGGTGTTAAATGACACTGAAAAGGACTCAAAATAGATGTAAATTGCACTGCAGGATCTTGTAGCCCTGCAGCTTTTACAGCTTCCTGTTTATAGAGAGATATATTATGTCTCAGTTGCGTTGTACACACTCAAAAAGAGGCAAATAAAGAACCAAACCGGTGCAACTGGACAGGTGAGAGATGCATGATGACCACAACAGACAGGACAGGAGTGAAGAAGAGAAACTAAGAGACAAACATTAAAGGGACTCAAAATAACGGTTAATGCAGAAGCTTAGAGACGGGTTATTGAAGGTGATTTTTGAAGCCCCATAACCTGAATGAACTACGTTTCTTGAGCGCAGTGAAGGCCTCTCTGTGATTGAGCTCTGCTTGCTCTGCGTTGCATCATGACACTCAGTTTATATATTTCTTGATGTTATTCCTCTCAGTTGTTGTTTTGGTCTTCCTGCAGTTCCTCTCAAATCCAAGCAGCTTTTTCATTCTGACTTTAACTCCAAAGTAAAGCCGATTTCTGGACTTCAGAGAGTTTTCAGTCCTTTACGAGGGAAATTCACTATACAAATATAGTTAAAGAAATGATCAGAATGAAGACCGTGGTGCCTTCAGGTGCTCCGTGGTGCCTTCAGGTGCTCCGTGGGTGTGTTAGGGATTATTTATTTGGACTTCGGTGTGTTCAAGAGCTTCAGACACTTGAACAGATCATGTGTTGTGTTTAATATCTCAGAAAATCCATTGTAATTCTCAGTTTTTGTTAAGAGTTTAATGCATTTCCCGGTTGGTATTTCATTTTTCCGATTATTTTGAACCCATTTAAATGCAACACGAATACTCTTTCCAAATGTGCAGATAAGAGAGGCTGGAAACACACTTTTCTGACTGTTTTACACCAAAAATAACCCAATAATGTATCTATTAATTCAGGGATATCAGCGTACAGAAGCTGGCAGATTTTAATCGACGTACTCTCGTTAGTTTTGGAGTAAAACCAGGAATACTGATCCTTGGCGTACAGCGAGTGATTCGTCTCCAAAAGGCTCGTTTACTCTCAGAAACGCTGAGAAATCGGGTCATTTTATAAAATATGTGCATATTAAAAAGCAGCGAGAGAGTAGTGCTCTCTATGATGAGATGCAGGTGTCTGATTGGCCCATGTGACCTGTGGCGGCCGGTGTGTGTGTGTGTGTGTGTGTGTGTGTGTGTGTGTGTGTGTGTGTGTGTGTGTGTGTGGTGTGTTGTGTGTGTGGTGTGTGTGTGTGTGTGTGTGTGTGTGTGTGTGTGTGTGTGTGGTGTGTGTGTGTGTGTGTGTGTGTGTGTGTGTGTGTGTGTGTGTGTGTGTGTGTGTGTGTGTGTGTGTGTGTGTGTGTGTGTGTGTGTGTGTGTGTGTATTAGTTTTATTATAATAATATAACTTGAGCATCGTGCATCGTGTGTGTTCTCAGTGTGTTGTTAGCATCGTGCTAACAGGTAGCAGTGTGTGTTCTCAGTGTGTTGTTAGCATCGTGCTAACAGGTAGCAGTGTGTGTTCTCAGTGGGTGTTTCTCAATGTCGAGGACGCTTGCTTGGTAGCACATGTCTGCCGAGCATCTTGCTTCAGAAGCGAGGCAAGAATACTTCCTGACATTCGGAAAACGAAGTGTGGAACACGCTAGCAAGTGTGCAGGTGTGCGTCATATGAGAGGCCCCGCCTCTTACATCTTCCGCCACAGATTTGGGGAAATTGGTCCGTGCGCAAAGCATTGTGGGGATTTTAAGACCGCGGAGTCTACTCATGTGCAGCCTCGATATTTCTCCAAACGGAGTACGCCGGGCTCGGTAGATTTCCAAGTATGCTGGAGATTGGAACAGTACTTCGGAGGCACTCGATGACGTAGTATGCTTGAAATAGTGGCTCTGGAGCAGCTTTACTCGACATTGAGAAACACCCACAGTGTGTGTTGTTAGCATCAGGCTAACAGGTAGCAGTGTGTGTTGTCAGTGTGTGTTGTTAGCATCAGGCTAACAGGTAGTAGTGTGTGTTGTCAGTGTGTGTTGTCATTGTGTGTTGTTAGCATCGTGCTAACAGGTAGCAGTGTGTGTTGTCAGTGTGTGTTGTTAGCATCAGGCTAACAGGTAGCAGTGTGTGTTGTCAGTGTGTGTTGTCATTGTGTGTTGTTAGCATCGTGCTAACAGGTAGCAGTGTGTGTTGTTAGCATCGTTCTAACAGGTAGCAGTGTGTGTTGTTAGCATCGTTCTAACAGGTAGCAGTGTGTGTTGTCATTGTGTGTTGTCAGTATCGTGCTAACAGGTAGCAGTGTGTGTTGTTAGTGTGTGTTGTTAGCATCGTTCTAACAGGTAGCAGTGTGTGTTGTTAGTGTGTGTTGTTAGCATCGTTCTAACAGGTAGCAGTGTGTGTTGTTAGTGTGTGTTGTTAGCATCGTGCTAACAGGTAGCAGTGTGTGTTGTTAGCATCGTTCTAACAGGTAGCAGTGTGTGTTGTTAGTGTGTGTTGTTAGCATTGTTCTAACAGGTAGCAGTGTGTGTTGTTAGTGTGTGTTGTTAGCATCATGCTAACAGGTAGCAGTGCGTGTTGTTAGTGTGTGTTGTTAGCATTGTTCTAACAGGTAGCAGTGCGTGTTGTTAGTGTGTGTTGTTAGCATCATGCTAACAGGTAGCAGTGTGTGTTGTTAGTGTGTGTTGTTAGCATTGTTCTAACAGGTAGCAGTGCGTGTTGTTAGTGTGTGTTGTTAGCATCGTGCTAACAGGTAGCAGTGTGTGTTGTTAGTGTGTGTTGTTAGCATTGTTCTAACAGGTAGCAGTGCGTGTTGTTAGTGTGTGTTGTTAGCATCGTGCTAACAGGTAGCAGTGTGTGTTGTTAGCATTGTTCTAACAGGTAGCAGTGCGTGTTGTTAGTGTGTGTTCTCAGTGTGTGTTGTTAGCATCGTGCTAACAAGTAGCAGTGTGTGTTGTTAGCATCGTTCTAACAGGTAGCAGTGTGTGTTGTTAGTGTGTGTTGTTAGCATTGTTCTAACAGGTAGCAGTGTGTGTTGTTAGTGTGTGTTGTTAGCATCATGCTAACAGGTAGCAGTGCGTGTTGTTAGTGTGTGTTGTTAGCATTGTTCTAACAGCTAGCAGTGTGTGTTGTTAGTGTGTGTTCTCAGTGTGTGTTGTTAGCATCGTGCTAACAGGTAGCAGTGTGTGTTGTTAGCCTGATGCTAACAGTTAGCAGCTGTTAGCTCCTCTCTCTCTGACTCTGATCTCAGCTCCTCTCAAAGTGCTGACGCTGCAGAAAACATGAAGCTGCTGACGGCTGAGTTTCTGAGAGAGAGAGAGAGAGAGAGAGCAGTACGTCTGAGATCCTTCCTCTGAAACACCAGAACTCTCTGTAGGAAATCACAAGACATCATGCTCTGTTCTGCATCAAACTCCTGGGACAGCAGAGGGACACAGAGGGACCAGAAAGAGACTTGAACTGACGGAGAAATACACAAACCGACTTTAAAGGGACTCCTTTAGTCTGTAAAGGACTCAACATGAACAAATGGGGACTTAATGACTGAAAGAGACACAAAATGACTGAAAAGGGACGTGAAATGATCCAAAAGGTATTTTAATTAGCTGAAAGACCACATGTGACCATAAAGAGACACAGAACAACCAAACAGGGACATTTAATGAAGGAGACGCTAAGTGAACAAAACAACGACTTCCTCCAGAGAGCCGGATTATCCTGCTCCGAGCGGCGTGAAGTCTGCTGATTCAGAAAGCTCTCCTGTGTGTGTGTGTGTGTGTGTGTGTGGGGGGGAGAGATAAAGTGTGTGTGGGGGGGGGGGGGGGGAGAGACAAAGTGTGTGTGTGTGTGGGGGGGGGGGGGGGGGGGGGGGGGAAGAGACAAAGTGTGTGTTTGGGGGGGAGAGACACAGTGTGTGTGTGTGGGGGGGAGACAAAGTGTGTGTGTGTGGGGGGGAGACAAAGTGTGTGTGGGGGGGAGAGATAAAGTGTGTGTGTGTGGGGGGGAGACACAGTGTGTGTGTGTGTGTGTTTTTGTTTCTGAGAGATTTCTGCTGCGCTAGATTTCACGCAGAGACAAATGCAATTGTTGCCGTTTCACATCGGTGTGTTTTCTCCCACACACACACACACACACACACACACACACACACACACACACTTCCAGAACCTCTGCTCACCTTCAACGTCTACACACACATCCAGGACTTCCTCAGTGAGCACACACACACATATACACACACACACACACACACACACACACACGTCTGATATTTCTAAAGTTCATCCTAACCCCGGTGGAGGATCCTTCATCAAATCTCTCCGTCTGGGTTTTACTGAGGATGATGAAGTTGATGATGATGAGGAGGATGATGAAGTTGACTATGATGAGGAGGATGATGAAGTTGACTATGATGAGGATGATGAGGATGATGATGATGATTGTTGGGATTCAAAGGAACAAAAAGAGGCAGATAAAGAACCCAGCAGGTGCAAATGGACAGGTGAGAGAAAGTGAGCCCAGACGCAGAGTTCAGATGCAAACCAAATAAAGACAGAGAAATGCACACAAATCTGGAAAAGAGACACGAAACGATCTTGAAAGTGTTAAATGACACAAAGGGACTCAAAACGACACTATATTTATGAAAATGTACCTAAAATGGTGCTTTTATTTTAAGGGACGTGAGGTTATAGGAGCGGCAACGTGCTGGGAGAGGGATGAGTCGTGTTGCAGCAGTTGCTCCTAATTGGTCTGTTTTGAGTTGCTTTGTGTCCGAGGTCTTTCTGGTTGTCAGGGTCTTTCTGGTTGTCAGGGTCTTTCTGGTTGTCAGGGTCTTTGTTAGGGCTGTGCAATTAATCGTATTTTAATCTCGATTACGATTTTGGCTTGCAACGATTACGAAAACAATGTAATCGAAATAAAACGATTATTATTTTTATTAAAAAAAAAAAAAAAAAGTAATTTTTTTTATTGGTTTTTCAGTTGAATTAAACTTAAAGTTCAGGGTAATCAACTGTTAAAAACATACTGTTCACATTTTTTTTTCAATATATGGATGTTTTCAAAGTAAATGGATAATCGTTTTTAATAATCGTGATATCAATTATTGACCAAAATAATCGTGATTATGATTTTTGCCATAATCGCGCAGCCCTAGTCTTTGTGATATCATCCTGTCTTCTCTGCGCAGCTGGCTTTCTGCAGATGTTGTCCTTTAGCCTCTCTTGTTGTTGTCTGTCCTGATATGTCTCTTTAGCAGAGGGGTTTCATCCTTAAGGCAGAGTTCCCGTTAGAATATTTTTTTGCCGGTCAACATGTCCGTTAAAGTTGAAATCTTCCGGACAAAATTAGATAAGTGCCGGTTAAAGGTCTTCTTTGTTATTTATTGAGCTTTAAAACAAATTGATATGATTCGACATTAAACAAACTAATTATAGTAGATTAACTACATTATTCAAAAGTGTACAGTAATTTACAAAAACGCGGGAATAATAAACGGAGCGCTCTCTCCTTCTCCTGACAGCCCGTCAGTATCATGCAGCTCGCGGATCCAGTAATGAGTGACCCGACAGTAAAACTAAACATATCTATAACTAGTTTAGGTAGTTTGAGAGGTAATTAAAATAGCTACGTGTGATTTTCTAACCTGAAGTGTGTTTTGCTCTGCTCGCCGCTGCAGGGGATCATGCAGAGCTGCGTGTCGACTCGTCAGCAGCAGCCGATCTCTCTCTCCTGTCAGATTAGACTTTACTCGCATTTATGTCCATATCGATCAGATCTAGCTAGTTCTAGCTAATGATATGACTACCTGCTTGTTAAAAGACACCTAAACAATAAGCGTCGCTATGCAACCGGATGAGGCCACAAAGTATAGCGCAGCATTATGCATTTGTTTACATGCCCACCGGAACCCCGAGGCATTACCAACAGATCAACGCACAATCAACCCATACAGGACATCTCTTTCTCCACATTAAGTGTTAGACATTAGAATTGACAATTTTTGTCTGTCACATACTCTTTTGTCTGTCACATACTATTCTTGTCTGTCACATAAGTGGCGCAACTGATGCGGTATTGCGCTAAGGGAAAATTATTTTGACCGGACATTTTGACCGGAGAGATTTAGATTTGCCGGACTTCAGCATATTTTACCGGTCATTGTCCGGTAATTACCGGCTAACGGGAACTCTGCCTTAAGGAATGATTGGTGCCATGAACACGCCACTATAATAAGATAGCCTTCACTTAGAGCAATGAGGATGAAAACCAGCAGAGATGCATCCTTTAAAGACGTGTGTCCTCTGCAGATTGTCATGTTTCTGTTTGTGTTGTAACCCTGAGATCAGATTGAACCGGTTTTCAAAGCGTGTTTGAAGTCGGCCCTGTTGAACACCGAGGCCGACTTCCCCCTCTTAGAGGAAGCTACTCTAAGAGACTTAATAATGCATGCACAGAAGCAAGGCATTGTGGGACGCTGGTGTGGAAAGAAGAGTGTGAATATACGGGGAGGAAACGAGCTTTTGGGAAGAAATTCAGGACGAAAAGGACATTTCTCTGCAGCTCTGTTTTGATCCAGAACTACTTATTTAAAGCTTCAGTACGATGTGAGAACAGGAGGGCGGGAAAAGAGACTCTAAAAGTGACCAAAAGAGATGCGAAAAGAGACGCTAAAAGGAGCCACTATCAGACACTTAAATGACCAAAAGAGACGCTAAAAGTGACTCAGAAAGACCAAAACAAGGTTCTATAAATGACCAAAATAGATGCTAAAAAACACCACAATCAGACTCAAAAGAGACGCTGAAAGTGACCAAAAGCAGTTTCTATGAATGACAACAAGAGATGCTAAAAGACATCGAAACGAGAAACAACAAAAGACCAAAACAAGACATAAAAAGTGACAAAAAGACTTCAGAAAATGACCATGCAGCGAGTGGGACGCTGGAGAGAGTGAATACACTTTGAGGGTCTCTGCAGCAATATTCCATCTCAGACTGCATTTCCATAACAAAGACTAATCACACACACACTCACACACACACACACGTACACACTCACTCACTCACACACACACACACACCACACACACACACTCACACACTCACACACTCACTCACTCACACACACACACACACACACTCTCACACACTCACACACTCACACTCGCAGACACTCACTCACTCACACACACACACACACACACTCTCACACACTCACACACTCACACTCGCACACACTCACACACTCACACACTCACACTCGCACACACTCACTCACTCACACACTCACACTCGCACACACTCACACACTCACACACTCACACTCGCACACACTCACACACTCACACACTCACACTCGCACACACTCACTCACTCACACACACACACGTACACACTCTCATGCTCACACTCACACTCTCACACTCACACGCACTCACGCACACACACGCACACACACACACACACACACACACACACACACACACACACACACACACACACACACACACACACTCACTCACTCACACTCTGGGTTTCTGCTCTTTGTTAGTCCTTCTCCATAATTGACCTCTTTCTGCTGATGTGTGTGTCGCTCAGAGTCTATTGTTTGTTCCTCGAAAAGGCACACACACACACACACACACACACACACACACACACACACACACACCCACACACACACACACACACACACCACACTCATCAGAGAGGTGAATGAGAGAGGAAGCAGCTGCCTGCAGAAACACAAAAGCATTCCTCTCTTTCTGAAAGACAAAGAGCTGATAAGTGTTTCTCACACGAGCCATGAAGAAAACTCAGAGGAGAGGATCAACAGGAGTCTGACAACGTACTGGCTTTCATTAGTTACAGCATGGGACACAAACCGACTTTAAACTGATGCAAAAAGAGACCAAATCAGGATCACCTCAAAGACAGAATGAAGCTACTAATTGACAGAAAACCACCACTAACATCTAGCGTCAGGTAGGGCTGCTCGATTATGGCAAAAATCATAATCACGATTATTTGGGTCAATAATTGATATCACGATTATTAAATACGATTATTCATTGACTTTGAAAACATCCATTTATTGAACTTTAAAACAAATAATAATAATAATTTGAACAGTATCTTTTTAACTGTTGATTACGCTGAAGGTATAATTCAACTGAAAAACCAATACAAAAATAAATAAAATAAATGATAAATATATATTTACATTTAAATAAATAATATCAAAATAATAAATACCAATAAACAAGATCAACACATATTTTGGAGCGCACTTCAACAAGCTACTAAACATATATAAATATGATAAATACAAATAAATGAGACCAAAATTAATTAGATCAAATATGTTGCAGTGTCACAACCTAGCAAAGCTAAATAATAGTTTTTTTCGATTATGTTGTTTTCGTAATTGTGGCAGGCCAAAATCGTAATTGCGATTAAAATACGATTAATTGCACAGCCCTAGCGTCAGGCCTATGTGTCTGCAGAGTACCTGAACGCAACACATCGTTCAAAGACTAAGAGGTAGAGGCAGAGAGCTGTGACACAGGAGTCTGAAAAAGCCTTTAGAGACAAACTGACTATAAACAATGAAAAGACAGAATACATCTACAAGGAGACACACAACAACAACAACAACAACAACAAGGTGCAAAACCCCCAGAAAGACGGAGAATATGATAAAAAGGGACAGAAAATGACCTTATTGACAGAATACCTTCTCAGATTCTGCTAATAAGTGTTATAACGGCTCTAAAACTAAAGAGTAGGGCTGTGCAATTAATCGTATTTAAATCGCAATTACGATTTTGGCCTGCCACAATTACGAAAACAACATAATCGAAAAAAACTATTATTTTGCTTTGCAACATATTTGATCTAATTTATTTTGGTCTCATTTATTTGTATTTATCATATTTACATATGATTAGTAGCTTGTGGAAGTGCGCTCCAAAATATTTGTTGATCTTGTTTATTGGTATTTATTATTTTGATATCATTTATTTTTGTATTGGTTTTTCAGTTGAATTATACGTTCAGGGTAATCAACAGTTAAAAAGATACTGTTCAAATTATTATTTGTATTTAAAAGTTCAATAAATGGATGTTTTCAAAGTCAATGAATAATCGTATTTAATAATCGTGATATCAATTATTGACCCAAATAATCATGATTATGATTTTTGCCATAATCGAGCAGCCATACTAAAGATATATATATATATTTACGTTCCTCGCATATTTCCCATCAGCCCCTCTGTTTGGTGTCTCCTCTGCTGAAGGTCACTGAGGTCGTTCCTCTCTTATTGAACACAGAGCCGTTAATGTCAGCCGAGAAGAGACGGTAAATAACGCCGGAGCAAGCGAGTCTGATGGCTGTAAATATCAAGGAAACAAGAAGAATTTAGTTTATTAATAGTTATAATAAATGTTCCCTCTGTGGACGACAAGTTCCACGTTCTTACAAGCGTTACTTAGA